GTGTTCAAAAAATAGCCCTGACCATCAAGAAAAGATGTTGTGGATGAAATGGCAATAGCTCTAATAGAGATTGGGAAACCTCTTGAGAGATCACGGCGTTCACTGACTAAGATATTTTTTGTTTCTCTGTGTAGCTTTAGAGCCTATCCTGGCACTCGCTCTGTAGACCAGGCTGGCCTAGAACTCACAGAGATCCACCTGCCTCTGCCTCCCGAGTGCTGGGATTAAAGACGTGCGCCACCAATGCCTGGTGACTAAGATACTTTTATACATTTGGACTTGGGTCAGAGCAGGAAGTTTGACACCTGATCATTCCTGGGGACCATATGCCCATCGTCAATCCCTTTCCTTCAGTCTGCCTCTTGTAAATGTTCGTAATTTAAGTGCAGATAAGTACAAAGTAATTTAGGTGTGCTCTGAGTCTATGGCACTTAAAAATGTAAATCCCTGACACTCTGTGGGCATACAAAAGGTATGCTTTTAATTACCTCTTTAAGCACTGCCCTCTTCAGCCCAGACATTCTTTTGTGGGTGGTTGGCTAGTTGGTTGGTTGGTTTTCTTCAAAAGCAGCATACAAAGTAGTGTATTTCACTGTGGCATTTTCATACACACTTTATTTTTCCCTTCTCCCCTGTTCTCCTACATTTATCCTGCTGGGCCCCTTCCTCCTACGGCAGCCTCTTTCTGATTTCATGCCACACATATCCTATTCCAGCCCCTTCTCCTCCAGAGACCTCTTTTTCCTTTCTCATGCTCTCCTTCCTAATTTAACACACACATATAAACAGATACATATATACATATAAATTAAAACTTTAGGATCTGCATATGAGAAAAACATGCAGTATTTATCTTTCTGAGTCAGGTTATGTTGCTTAATATAATAATTTCCAGTTCCACCCACTTGCCTGCAAATGTTATGACTTCATTTTTCATTATGTCAGCCAAAGGGTTTTGACTGAAGAACTTCCCACAGTTGATACAGAATACGAGAAAGTCACATGTCTTCAGATCTTACAATAGGGAATAAACACTCATGGGAAATGAAGAAGCTTCTAGAAGGAGAAAATGTCTCCATGGAGGGGCCTCTGTGACGCTCCAACAGGAAGTTAGGTTAGAGCTCACTGGGCAGCCAGGAGTAAAGGTTAAGAAGGCATGACTCAGCATGCCTCGGGCAACCAGAATAACAAGAGATCTATTATCACACACCATCATATGTACACATGTGATCAAGACAGCTCAATTATAGTTTACAGTTGATAGTCTCAGCAGCTGGGAGTTTTCCCGTAGCTTTGCTCCTTAAAATTGGGGTTCTTTAAAAGATGAATGGAATAAGGGCTCTCCTAGATTTGGGGTAATCCTTAAACATCTTGAGGTAGAACCTACAAAGACAAGAAAGGAAGGAATAATTATAAGTGTGATGGAGAAGTGGCCAACAGTTGAGTTTGCACAAGTCAACCCAGTTTTTTACCACCTGACCATTCCTGGGAACCATGTGCCCATCATTGACCCCTCTCTACGGTCTGTCTTCTGTAAACATTGGTAATTTATGTGCAGATAAATACAAAGTAATATCCGTAGGGTGGTAGTGATGGAAATTGTTAAGGTGTGGTATTGTTATGCCACATATATGTCACCAGACTTTTTAGATACACAAAGGGAAGTACTCATTTGGGCTCACATTGCTAAAAAACTACAGGAAGCTAGGGCCTCCCAAAAATTTGGGGCAAATGGTGAAATAGTGGTAAGTAATGGGGGTACCCAACTACTGTCTGATTGGACCTGAGGCCTACTCCACGGGTGGAAATCCACATCTGGGACTAAAAACCTGGACAAAAGCCCATGGCTGGGGAAGTCATGGGCCCTGCTGGGGAAGCTACTGCAACTATTTTGCTAAATGGAAAAGACATTCCCATCAAAGTGCTGTCCCAATAATTATGTTTATATCCATAGATCACTGCTGCCGTGCTACTGTCGGCTTCGCTTCTTTGTGCAGTGGGCAGCAGTAACTAAGTCAGAGCGCTGAGAATGAAGAACTGCTGCATGCTCAGCCATGAAATGAACTTCTAGATCTCTCTCTCCCAGCTCAAGGAGCATCACAGAAGATGGGGCAGGAAGAGTATGAGAGCTGAGAGAAGGAGTGAAATGAAGTAGAACACTGTAGAATATGGCATCACCATTGTGCTTCCAATCCTACAGCCATTGAGACCTGCACAAGACTGAGCCTGCCAATATCCTGTCATGGTCCCCTCCCCCTAGGACATACAGGTTGATCATCACAGCTAGTAGGAAGGAGTTCACAGGCCTGGCCTCTCCCTGAGGGTCCATAGGCAGTTAAGAGTTACTGGGGAATACAATCTTATTTTGGAACTATGGTCATTGCAGATATAATCAATTAAAATAGCACATACCAGTGCAGGGTGGACCCTTAATCCCACAGACCTGAAAAGAGACAAGAAGACACAGGGGATGGCAGAGAGGTATAAGGCATCTGCCCCAGCCACGGAAAACCAAGACCAATTGTCTCCGCCAGAACGGAATAAAAGCAAGGAAGGCTTCTTCCCCCAAGCCATTCCAGAGAGCATGGCCCTGCCTATACCTTAGGGCCAAATGTATGATCTCCAGAACTCCAGAGAGAAAGATTTCCCTTGTCTAAGCCCATGTAGCTGAGGGTCATTTCCTATGACAGTCTTTATGAAAAGCCTCTTCCCTGTGTGACCAAGTTGTCCTCTTAACTATTTGAAACTAATGGCCCTTGAGGCACAATAAAGACAAAATACACTCTGCTAAAGTGCTGTGGGTTTAAACTGGAAAATCAAAAAATAAATTAATTAATTAAAATGTGCCAGAGTGCCTGCTTTGGTTTGAAAAGCCCCTGTGTGCTCAGCCTCTCCTGACAATGCCTGCCCTTGCTTCCTGAGCCCCTTCACTGAACCCTCTTGGGCCCATTAAAAGAGACATCCCTGGCCCTCCCTCCAAGAGGAATATAAACAGATGGCCTCAACTTAATGTTCATGTTCCATCAGCTGGAAACTTCTGATGCCATTCCTGACCAAAGACTCCGAGGTCTATGCTTTTCAAAGACCCTCCTATGCACCAGGTGAGGCCCTGACCTTGGCCGTTCTCTGACATCTCTCACGGGTAGCAGATCTCCTAAAGTGGGAGGGCTGTCACGGGCTCTCTCAAAGGCCATGAACCCCTGTACCCTGTCCCTTTCAATCCAGGAGGTGATAGGAATAGGTCATGGGGAAACTGCTGATTCAACTATTTCCAAACTGGTCTTGCTCTCCACTCAGAAGAAGGAAGCTTGTACCTCATTTAATTCTAAAAACTAGTAAAGAAATCATTAGCCAGGTGGAAACACCAAGGCAAGAACTTAAGGAGCTCTCAGCCCCGTTCTGTACTCCAGGTGTTCCTTCTTGGTTCTAGGCTTTCTCTCTCTACAAAAGCTACTTTAAGGTAAGCAGGTGAAGCACTACTTCCCAGTTACCTCTTTTATGCTACTCAACCCTTGCCTGGTGCGTTAAAGATGTGTTAGACCAACCTTCCAAAGGAACACCTTAAATGCCTGCAGTTCCGACATGTACCAGCAGATGGAGCACTCGGGGGCTCACCTGCTTACCTTAACTTTCCAAGAAACTTTGAGATGTGCGAGCACATCTCACATCTTGATGGAACACACATCAAGAAATAGGATGGAGCCAGGCGTTGGTGGCGCACGCTTTTAATCCCAGCACTCGGGAGGCAGAGGCAGGCGGACCTCTGTGAGTTCGAGGCCAGTCTGGTCTCCAGAGCGAGTGCCAGGATAGGCTCCAAAGCTACACAGAGAAACCCTGTCTCAAAAAAAAAAAAAAAAAAAAAAAAAAAAAAAAAAAGAATTATCTGAAGTTTCTAGCCAAGTGGTAACCATCACCAGGCATAGAAGTTGGACCAACCAACTCACTGTGGGAAGTTACCTTTTATTTTGTTTTTATTATCACATGTTAAATATACATAATAATAGACTTCATTATGACATTTTCTTGGTTTTTTTGTTTTGGGGGGATTTTTTGTTTTTGTTTTTGTTTTTTTGCTTTTTTTTTTTTTTTTTTTAGGTTTTTTTTGAGACAGGCTTTCTCTGTATTGCTTTGGAGGTTGTCCTGGAACTCACTCTGTAAACCAGGATGGCCTCGAACTCACAGAAATCCACCTGCCTCTGCCTCCGAAGTGCTGGGATTAAAGGTGTGTGCCACCAACGCCCAGCTCATTAAGACATTGTCATACACAGATATAATGCACTTTGATCATTCGCTTCTATTACCCTCTCTTGTCCTCTCCCACTCCTGCTAATCCCCTTATTCTTCCCAACTATTTCCCTTCTATTTTCATGGTTTGTTTGTTTGTTTATGAGTCACTGAGTTTCATTAGGGTTGCTCATATGAACATGGGTACCTTACCACTGGCTACACCACTGAAGAAAATGTCTCTGTGTCTCTCCCAGTCATTAACTACATCCTCAGGGACAGAGGGTGGGAAACCCTCCTCAACAAGGCGGGCACAATAGCTACCCAACCGTCACTTCTGGTGTCTCTATCTACACAACCTTTCTTTTTTTTATTATTTACTGCAACCATTATCCAACTCAACTTCAGTTTCAGGAAAAGCTTTAAAAGTCAGAATTTAATCACACAAATTGATTATTGTATCAAATTTCCTTTCTGAAAACATTATCATGTGCTTGTAAATCTGACTCCATGTGCTAAAATCTTATTTGGAGAAGAATACTACTTGACTGCTACAACCTTGTGACACTATTGTCAGCTTGACTCGGAGGCAAGCCTCTGGCAACATCTGTGAAGGACTTTTTGTATGAAGGATAGCCTCAGAAAATGTCTGTGAAGGGTTGTTCTGATTAAATTCACTGTTATGTGAATCACGGGCTAGAGCATTCCCTGATGAGGGACTCTGAACTGTATAAAGTTTATACAGAGGTTCTCAACCTGCCAGTCATGACCCCTTTGGGGGTCACATATCAGATATCCTGCATATCAGATATTTACATTATAATTCATAACAGTACAAATTTACAATTCTGAAGAGGCAATGAAATAATTTTATGGCTGGGGGTCAGCACAACATGAGGAACTGTGTTAAAGGGTCACAGCGTTAGGAAGGTTGAGAATCACTGGTATAAAAGGAAAGGGCAAGCTGAGCGTAGCACACATGCATTCATTCATTTGCTGTCTGCTTTTTGACTATAAATGAATGCATGCAATGTGACCACCTGCTTGGAGTTCCCACCACCTTGACATCCTTGCACAGACACTGGAAGAGCTGGAAGAGTGAGACAAATATTAACCCTTTCTTTCTTAAGTTGCTTTCGCCAGGGCTTTTTAATCACAGTGACAGGAAACAAAACTGAGACACACCTCTGTTAAAAAAATAAATAAAATAAAATAAAAAGTTTACCTGTGGTGGTAAAAAGCTTGAACCCCAAGGAAGCAAAGTGAGAAAAATGCAAATGCAAAGGCTGGGAGGGACCAGGTAGCCAAGGCATAGCCCATCCATTCAATGATCTCGCCCAGGAAATTGGCTCCAGAGACATATGTAAACAAGCCACCTGTGTGCAGAGAACAAGAAAAACAATACTTAGAGCTGCAGTTCTGTGACACTGCATCCCTGTGTGTTGTTCCAAAACACACAAAGACGATGGGCAAAGGTAAATAGATGGGAGGCCCCTTCCCCAGCCAGAGTTTAGAAGAAGCCTCTTAGAAATACAAGAAAACAAAGCAACCACAACCCCTTGCCTAGGGAATGTTCCAGAACCCTGAGGAATGGCCCCATCCACTGATGGGCATTGTCCAGATTTCTTTACAACTGTTAGACCCCCAACTTTGAGCAAGACAAACAGGAGGAGTAGATGGGCTGCTTCTTGTCTTGTTCTATTTTAAAGGCCATGTTCAGGCCACTCCTTACCTTACCAAGCCTTTCCCTGGCAAGTCCCAAGGACAGTCGTTAGGGTACACACCAGTCACACAAAGAGAAACTACACACTACACTGAATTAAAAACTTAGCAGGTGTGAGAAGTGATTTGGTTCTTATTGACCCTGTGATCCTCCACTACCTGGCCCCCTGCACTAACACTGTTCATGTTGAAAGCAGAGAATATGCACCCTACTGGGGTTGAGAAGCTCTGCTGCCATTAAAGTGTTTCACTTCTAACCACCAGATATTTCCTCTGGCAGAGCTATCTGGAAATCAAGGCATTCTTACGATGTTAAATGTACCCACACTCAAGCTTTCTGAGCCATATTAAACTAAGAAAGTTGTGACCAAAACAGCTTTTCTGCTTCTGCAGCTACATGAAAATGTGCTTTTAAGTCGTTCTCCCTCACTCTCATAGCTCAGTTGGAAACTGACCCAGGCAATCTGGTTTTTAAGACCTGCCCCAGCTCATCATTACTTAATCATTAAGCCAAAGTTTTTAAGTGTTGCTATGGTAGGATGTGAACACTGTCCAGAGTCCTGCGTGAGAACTCTGTCCCCAGCTGGTGATACCAGTTCAGAAGGCTATGGAACCTTTTGGCCATGGGTCCATGCTGGTAGGTGGAAAGCTGTTAGGGATGGGTTAGAGGGGTATAGCTGGCCTGGTTCCTGCCCAAGTTCTCTGCTTTCTGGCTAGCTACGGAGATGTAAGCAAGTAACCCCATGTTCCTGCCACTAACAATAAGAGAGAGCCTAGCACGCAAGGTATCCTCACATACTCTACACTGACACTGTGAGATAACAGTGCTTCTGTCCAGTATTCTATCCCAGCTGTGAGAGAAATGACTGACACAAAGAGCAAGTCCCTTTGCTGTTGTTTTTCTTAAGGATGACACTGCATCATTGTCTTCTTGCCCGTGACACCCTGGACTTTGTGAGGGTCCAATTATGCATGAATGGTCTAGCTTAGATCCTTAGATACGAGGAATTAATAATGCTCACTCATGTAAATGTATTACTAATCACAATATCTTTGTCATTATTCATCAGTGGTTGTCAGTCTACACCATCATATCATAATCCAGGACATTTTTACTGCAAACGAGGGCTCTGTTTACATTCCGGAACCACTGTCCACTTTTCACGTGTTGATCACCTGGACTGATTCATTGCTGAATTCTTATCTCATTCCTAGTTTCTTGGCACCAGTTATACTGCAAGTTCTGTATCTTGATCTTTGAAGAGGCAGTTATGTGCTGCCCAGTGGCAAGTCACAAGTCAATAGCAGACTGCACACATGATGATAAGAGTCATTTAGACTCTAACAGACCTCAAGTATTCACCTCCTAATCACATCATAGCCATGGCAATGCAAGTACAGCACACTGCCCATCATTGGAAAGCTCAGGCCCAGGCATTACCATGCAAGCCTGAGGACCTGAGTTCAATCCCGGTCCCCACATAAAAGTGGCACATGCCTATGGTCCCAGTGCTGAGAAAGTAGAGACAGGAGGATTCTGGAGCTCCATGGCCAGACAGTCTAGCTGAATTGACGAGTGCCAGGTTCAGTGAGAGAAAAAAGTTAACCGTAAGACATTGTATGCTGCTCCCTGGAGACCTTCCAGGAGGCATGAAAGTAACATGATTGTGATCATAGGTAGGCCTAGGCTAGGACATGTTTGTCTCTTAGATTTTAGCAGAAAAAAAAAAGTTTTAAAAAAAATTCAAAATTTCAAAACAGGCTGTACTCTATAACCTAGGTATGCAGTAGATAGCCCCATCCAGGTTCTTGTAAGTACACTATAATGGTCATGTGACAATGGAATCCTCAGTTTCATTGCTAACACAGCAAGGCTCACATTCTGTGTAAATGGAAGACTTACATACTAGGCTGTAATCTATTTCCCCACTACTTATATCCAAGCCTAGTGCCCTCTGTCACCGTGAAGGTACTATGATCTTTCCCCTGGGGTAGGAAAGGGGTCTTTTCTGGGGCTCTCTCTCCCTCTCCCTCCCCCTCCCTCTCTCTCTCCCCCTCCCTCCCTCTCTCTCTCTCTCTCCCTCTCTCTCCCTCCCTCTCTCTCCCTCCTCTCTCTCTCTCTCTCTCTCTCTCTCTCTGTACACATGAGTGTACACCTTGAACTCATTATGTACTAAAAGAATGACCTTGAACTCCTGACTCCTGATCTTCCTGCCTCCCCTCCTAAGTGCTGGGATCATAGATCTGCCCTGCCATGCCTCGGTTAAGTGTTGCTGGGGATGGAACCCATGGTTTCACACATACTAGGCAAGCACTCTACCAACTGAGTTCAGCCCTAGCTGTCTTGGAGCTTCCTTAGGTTCTGTGGAAGGGAAAAGGTGTGCAGGGGAGGACTGAAGCAAGCCAAGGTGTGTGTGTTTGCATAGCTGTGCTGTCACGAACCCTCCCCACTTGTTAGTCACTGGGACAGGCTCCAAGGAAGAATGGGACTGCGGGAGTCAGGGGAGGCATTACCTTGTGGAATCTTATAGATGACTTCTCCAGGCTTCCTGAGCTGGCGCAGCAGGTAGTCACTATGGATGTTGATTCCCATTCCCAAAATAAATAGGAAGACACCTTGGTGAAGAAGAGAGGAAGCATATCAAAAGATACGCTCTGCTTTGGTATTTTTCATACAAGATATGTTTTCTTTTTCTTTCTTAAAATAAAGGGAGGGGCAGTTAATTGCCAAATCTAAGCATGGCATTCAGATATTGTCTGAAGCTTCTGGGGAGGAGAGGTTGTCCTGTTCCTAGGGTAAAGTGTTAGCACTCACAGTGATATGTAATGGGCAGAGGTAGGAAGGGGGGCAAGTAGAAGGCAACAGAACAGCATTGTGTGTATTAAACAAACCCATGGAACAATCAGCGAGTAACAGGAAGCATGTGGCTCTCTCACAAATGACCAGCTGGCTGGCTCATTCACCAGCCGGTTCCACTCTCTTCTTTGTCATGACCCACCGTGAAGGCTGGAAGTCGACATATACATGCATGGAATTGTCAAAGAACCAACTTTACTCATAAAAAAGCGACTCCATATTCTTTGTAGTTAAATATAAATATTATGCTCATTAATGTTGTTGGGGGTAGTGGGAGAATTAAAAGCCTTCTGGGGGGCAGGTTGGAGTTCCCCCAGCAGAAGGAAATCATCTGGAGGTGTTAAGCTAAGGAGAACTAGAATGTCATTTCTGTTTAAAATTGTTGTAAAAGCAACATTCACGTTTGTAGAACACTAGGCATTAATTAGTGTTAACCGAACCAAATGACCCACTCCTATCACCCCAAATCACCACTGATCGACATCTTAGTGCACACACATCCTTCAATTTTCACCTGATCTGACACTTTCAGGCCCCATTCCAGTTCCCTCAGATGTCCAACACCCCAACAGCCAGGAGGAGGCCTGGTACATGCAGTACTAGGCCAGGCCAGGCCTGATCCAGCCTCCACAGCAGTTCAAGGACAGGGCCTGATCCCAAGCCTGCCCAAAAATAGAAAACTGTAGGCCTCACCAGCCTCTGACTAGCCCCAGCCACTTAGAAGGTACTAATGTGATTGCCACTTGCTTAAGCCAATCATATCTAAAATGACCTAACATTCTTAGACACTCCCCTCAGTAAGGCTTAAAAGAAGCCCCACCTCCTTCTTGGGGTGGTAGCCATCTTGCCTTTGTGTAGGATGGTCACCCCAGAATGCTTGAATAATTTTTTTTTAAAAAAGATTCTTTGCTTTTGTATTGGATCTGGTCTGCTGGTAGTCTTTGGGTGTCTGGACTCAGGGCACAACACTGGAGGTTCCACGGAAATCCCTCAAGTCCACCATGACTACCTCTCCATTGAGTCTTGCGGCACCAAATATCAGGTAACTTGCCTGGACATCTGGTTTCTATATATCTGTATCTGGTTTCTCTGTCTGTTGGAGCTCCATCTGTAATCTGTAAAGCCCACTTAAGACCTAGCACACATGCTGGAGGGTCTCAGAAGTTCCCCAACTCTGCAGAAGGGTCTGAAGACCTGTGGGTGACAAGGATTGGACCCCCACCCCAGTTTCTGACAAGTCGGCCAGTAGGTGAATGAGTGCTCTTTGTTTCTGTCTTGGTCTGACTATTACTATGTTGCTGTTCTGTTCCATGTGTTCATGTCTCTGAAAAGCTTAAACTGAGATAAGCAGGTAGCTCCTGCCAAGTGGGGCTTGCTTACTGCAAGAAAGGCCATCTGTTAGATGGGGCTCGATAACAGTGAGTGAGGCTGTCATCTCAGTGTCTGTTGGTTGTCTGTGTCACTATTACTTGTTTCTGTTTACTAACCTCCCTAGTTTTCCTAGAGAGAGAGAGAGACATGGCAAGGGCCTTTTTCTGATGCTGTTCTCTTGCCCTCTGGCCCTCAGCCAGCTACAAGGGCTGCAAGAAGTGGATAGTGCTACTGGGACTTGGCTTAGCCTGCAGGAAAGGTCTGCAGCCAGCCAGCGGTCTCTAAGAGGGATGCAATATGATGATTAATAATTAATGTGTATACCTTTAAAGAGAATGATCCCATTTTTAATGTAAATATTCTGCAGCAAAGAATCACCAGCTCTAATTTTTTTTTTTTTTAATGAAGAAAACTAATCGCACTCACACTCACTTGGGCAGGGAGGAGACTATGGGGAGATACGTTCATTCGAACGAATATTGATAAACTGTGCAAACACTGAACAGGGAATCTGGGGTTTGGCCAGAGGGGTTAACAATATCTTTTTCAGGACTCCCAAGAGCATACTTTGTGCCCACCAGCACTGCTGGTCCTCCTTACCTTCCTAAGCCAACTTCTTCACTATGATAACAAGTCAAGGTCTAATCTTGGCTGCTGGCCAGCTGCTAGCTTGAACACTCAAAAAATGTTTAAAATGTAACTTTAGCCTTGTAACGTTGGTGGCCCACATCTTTAATCCCAGCACTCAGGAGGCAGAGGCAGGTGGATCTCTGTGAGTTCAAGACCAGCCTGGTCTACAGAGCTAGTTCCAGGACAGCCTCTAAAGCCACAGAAACCCTGTCTCGAAAAACAAAAACAAAAACAAAAACCCTGTAACTTTAAAATAAAAATACATGGGTGTTGGTCATTTGGATTCAATTGGTTACAAATTGTTATTGGTTAAGATAAAAAAAATACTGTTAATCTCAATTGGTATAAGTTTTACATGTTGTTGCAAATTTAAAATTCCTATTATGATACATACATACATTTCTGCTCTTGTTTGACATGTTGCACCTATGTACTGTTCTGGGCTGCTGAAAAATCACAGAAAAAGACATTATGGAAATTTACATGTTGTCTGGAAGTTGAAAAAAAAAAAAAAGATGAAACTAAAACAAAAACGAAAAAAGTTTGTCTATGTCTGGCTGAACCAGAGGAGCAAAGATAGGAAAAGTCTGACCTAAGAGTGCAGGAAAAGTTGTAGAAGGGCAGAGAGGATGTGAACAATACTGAGTTTAGAAGGAAACTAGAAAACATGTTGGAGATATAACCATAGTAGGTTAATTCTGATTGGTTTTCTTCATAAAAAAAAAAAAAAAAGCTGGTGATTCTTTGCTTCACAAGATGCCCAAGGGAAAGAAGACCAAGGGGAAGAAGGTGGTCCCAGCCCCCGCCATCGTGACCGGAGGCCAAAAGGTGGTGAATCCTTTGTTTGAGAAAAGGCCTAAGAACTTTGGCATTGAGCAGGACATCCAGCCCAAAAGAGATCTCATATACTTCATCAAATGGCCCCGTTACATTATGCTGCAGCGGCAAAGGGCCATCCTCTAAAAGCTTCTCAAAGTTCCTCCTGCCATTAACCAGTTCACCCAGGCCCTGGACCGGTCTGGGTGAACTGGTTTAGCTACCCAGCTGCTTAAGCTTTCCCACAAATACAGGCCAGAGACAAAGCAGAAGAAGCAGAGGCTGTTGGCCGGTGCTGAGAAGAAGGCTGCTTGCTGGCAAAGGGGATGCCCCAACTAAGAGGCCAACTGTCCTTCGAGCAGTATCAAATACAGTCACCATCTTGGTGGAGAACAAGAAGGCTCAGCTGGTGGTAATCACCCACGCTGTAGACCCCATTGAGCTGGTGGTCTTCCTGCCTGCCCTGGGTCGGAAGATGGGGGTCTCCTACTGCATCAACAAGGGAAAAGCCAGGCTGTGACGGCTGATCCATAGGAAGACATGTATCACCACTGCCTTCACACAGGTTAACTCGGAAGACAAGGGTGCTCTGGCTAAGCTTGTGGAAGCTATTATGACCAATTACAATGACAGATACGATGAGATCTTCCGCCACTGGGGAGGCAATATCCTGGGTCCTAAATCTGTGGCTCGAATTGCCAAGATGGAAAAGGCAAAGACCAAAGAACTCACTACTAAACTGTGTTAAATGTACACTCACTGTTAAGTTTTCTGTACATAAATACTAATTTATCTTCCAAAAAATGGGATCATTCTCTTTAAAGGTACACAAATTAATAATTAATCACCATATTGCAACCCTCTTAGTTCTATATAATTGGCTTCCTATGAAATCAGGGCTAAAGCTCATGACTATTCAGAGTTTCACAGAGAAGTCCAAACCTATTTCTTAAAAAATGTCAACATCAACTCTATGGTCTGTAAATAAAAGTTGTGGTCTAACTGCTCCTATAATTTCTATAAAACGTACTTACCAAAAAGAAAAAAAGAAAAAAAAAAAAAAAACAGGACCTGAAAGGTCCATTTGACTAATATATCTATAGGATAACATAATGGCCAGTTTGTTGTTACCAAACTTGGTGATGTTTTCAAGATTAGGTCTAAATTTTTTAACTCAGATATATTTAATAGATAATGGTCCTCAAACCTGTGGAAGATCTGATAAACATGGCACTTAAATTATTTGATAAAAGCTTACTTTGACAGACACTCCCAGCTCCGAGCAATGACTCCAAGGAAGATATAAAACACCACCACCATGAAACCTGGATTGTTGACAGCACTGACCACTGGGCAACATGACCTCATCTCAACACCTGCTGCCAGAATCCAGCCCAGACTGTGGACAAGTGAAACACTGACAAAATAAAGTCAGTCTCCCCAGGAAAAACTCTTGCCTTGTGAGTCTTGCAGCTGAAGATTGATATTGCCCTGCCAATGCTATGAAGGCCACAGGAACCTGGGCTGGCTGTCTGGGTTATAGACAGTCTCCATTGTTTTTTAATAGATTTAAAAACTGATCAGTTTACACGCAGACAGAATTTATCCTTATCAGATCTCTGTTGGTATTGATGTTGGTATTATAGGCCAGCCATAACTCTGTCAGCATAACAACAACAGGTAACCAGAGTCTTCTCCAAGGTTGCAGCCACCTTGATCAAGTTCATTGATTAATACATTAGCTAGTTAAAGTTACTAAGTTTCTTGATCTATTAAAGAGAGAGAGAGAGAGACAAACAGGTTTGCCTTACTCACGGGCTTCATATTAAGGGATAACCTAAAATGGTTGTTCTTAATAATAACCGCTTATATTTCTGGTAAATAATTAAATAAAAATGCAAAAGTCTAAGTTCTAAGAGTCTGAAATCATAAAGGCTTGGATTGTGATGGTCTAAAATATTTTTAAAAGTATTAATACAATTTATAAAGATACAAAAAGTAACTTAAGGTTTATATAAAAATGCTTCAGATTTCTTTCCCCTTCCATAATAATATTATACAAGGATTTCAAAAGTTCAGAGTTTAACATGAATAAAGTTCTAACGAGCTAATAGAGCAATGACTGCTTACTGTTTGGGTCACAAGCTCAAGATTCTAGATTTGTTTTGGTTATCTTCCAAACATAGACTTACTTCCTGAGACTGAACAAGCAGTTTCTGAGGAAAAGCCACAAATAAAGGACAATCAATCTCCAACACCCTAACAGCCAGGAGGAGGCCTGGTACATGCAGTACTAGGCCAGGCCAGGCCTGAGCCAGCCTCCACAGCAGCTCAAGGACAGGGCCTGATTCCAGGCCTGCCCAAAAATGGAAAACTGTAACCCTGGCCAGCCCCTTACTAGCCCCAGACACTTAGAAGGTACTAATTTGATTGCCACTTGCTTAAGCCAATCATATCTAAAATGACCTAACTTCCTTAGACACTCCCCTCAGTAAGGCTTATTATTTAAAATGATTTTTAAACTTAAATATATTTATATTCTTTTCCTCCCCTGAGTTCTTCAATATCCCCTCTCCCTCCCTAATACCCACCCAGCATTAAGTTCAGTCTCAGAAAACCAAAAACACAATGTAAAACAAAACATGCCAAACCAAGAAAACAACACACACACACACACACACACACACACACACCACTCAACACATACAAAAACAAGAAAACAGCACACACACACACCGCAAAAGAAAAAAAAAAAAATAACCACCAAACTGTAACCAAATAAAAGCACACACACTGGGCAGTGGTGGCACACACCTTTAATCCCAGAACTTCAGAGGCAGAGGCAGGCTAATCTTTGTGAGCTTGAGGCCAGCCTGGCCTACAAAGCAATTTCCAGGATAGCCAGAGGCTGCTGCACAGAGAAATCCTGTTTCAAAAAAAAAAAAAAAAAAAAAAAAAAAAAAAAAAATTAAAAAAAGCACACACACATAGTAAAAAAAGAAAAGGAAAAGAAAACTTTGGAGTCTGGTATGTGTTGATCAACTTCTCCTGAACATGAGGCCTGTCCTGGAGTGTCACACCATTGAAGAAAACCTTTTTTTTTTTTTTTTTTTTCTCCAAGCAGATATAAATGACAGTTCAGTTGTTAACCATTACCCTAGTGGCTTAGTTTTCACTCATTCATTCACTCAGTCATTTTTAAAATATAATAAAATAAAGTATCATAGGATAATCCCGTCACATCAAAGTTGGACAAGACAAACCAACAGAAGGAAAAGAGCCTATGAGAAGACACAAGAATCAGAGGCACACTTGTTCCCACATTCAAGAGTCCCATAAAACACTAACCTGGAAGCCAGAATAAAAGCTCTGAGGACCTGGTGCAGATCCATGCAGGCCCTCTGCATGCTGCTTCAGCCACTGAGAGCATACGAGCTTTGCTGCTGTTAATATACAGGGTCTTGTTTTCTCGGTATTCTCCATCCCCTCTGGCCCTTTCCCTCTTCCACAGAAAATAGGGGAAATTTTGAAAAATCGATTTCTTCAGTTATTTCAGGTAGGGTGCTCAAGAAAAGCCTCCTTGAGGACGGTCAGTTGGTGGAGATGAATTAAGCAAGGAAGAGGGGCAAGCCTGGAAGCTCAGTGAGGCAGAACAACCCACGACCGAGGAGCACTGGGACAAAACAGGCTTGACTATTTCAATCCCTGCAGCAAGGCCTCTGGGGCTAGCACAGAAAATGGGGTGAACCGGGGCAAGAATCACGGCTAAGTCGGAAAGGCCCAAACATTTGGGTTTTATTGGCAGGGGAGCCTGTTTGTATCATAGGAACAGTAGAAATCTATTGGACCAACTTAAGATGGGAGATGACAATCCACTTCTTTTTCTTTTTTCTTTTTTTTTTTTTTTTTTTTTTTTTTTTTTTTGAGACAGGGTTTTTCTGTGTAGCTTTGGAGCCTGTCCTGGAACTCACTCTGTAGACCAGGCTGGCCTCAAATTCACAGAGAGCTGCCTGCTGAGTGCTGGGATTAAAGGCTTGTGTCACCACAGCCCAGCCTAAAGACTTTGTATTGTGTGAATTGGTGTTTTGTCTGCATTCATGACTATGTGAGTGTATCAGGTCTTCTGAAATTGTAGTTGTGGTTGCTGGGAATTGAACCCAGGGCCTCTGGAAGAGCAGACAGGACTCTTAAGCACTGAGCCACCTCTCTAGCCCCGGCATGACACATATTTAAAAATTCTCCCCAGCTGCCTTCTGGAAAGAAGATCCGAGGAGGGGCATGAGTAGCAAATGAGTTGGTGAGGTGGCTGCCCCAGGATGAGAAGAGATGATGGTGACTGACACTGTGGTGTTGGCACTAGCTGGGAAGGGAGGAGATACAGTCAGCTTCACTTACCCAAACTAAACCTGACATCTGTGTACCACTCCTTGGGATATTCTGCGCAGTAAATCAGATAGTAGGCTTGAAGAAATCCATTTCCGATGCAAAAGACAATCGCTCTCAGAAAGAGCATCACCGGGAAAGGCCTCCCTCTGGTGAGCAAGGAGTAAATAAATGTCCTAGGATGGAAGAAGAAAGTGATTAAGTCTTCATTGGTTGGAAGCGGGGAGGGGAAGTTAAAAGAGAGAAGGGGAGGAGAGGTCAAACCACAAAACAGTCCAAGCCACATCAAAGTCATTATTGCAAATGCTTTCCCCTTAAATTTGGCCCAGTCAGTAAAGCGTTTGACTTGCAAGCATGGAGACCTGAGTTTGATCCCACAATCTGTTTTTTTGTTTTTGTTTTTGTTTTTTTGTTTGGTTTTGCCTGCCATGGTGGCATGCACTTTTTAATCTAGCACAGGGGACATAAAGACATGCATTAAATGGACGATTACTATCTAATTCTAGAACAACAGGTTTTGCTGGTTTGAGGGGGTTGGTTTTTAGGTTTTGGCTTGGATTTTTTGGGGGTAGTTTTTGGTGGGTTTGTTTTTTTGTCTTATGACATTAAAAATGCATAGAAATAGCTAGGCAGTGGTGCACGCCTTTAATCCCAGCACTCAGGAGGCAGAGGCAGGTGGATCTCTGTGAGTTCGAAACCAGCCTGGTCTACAGAGTGAGTTCCAGGACATCAGGGCTGTTTCACAGAGAAACCCTGTCTTGAAAAACCAAAAAAAGAAAAAGAAAGAAAGAAATGCTTAGAAACTGCCATTTGGTACCTCATTTTATTGACACAACAGCCTTGAAAGGGAGGTACTAGCCCCATCCAGCAGTGGATGATGGTAGTGGGAAGATAGAAGAATTATCACCCCTATAAAAATCAAGATAAAAATTGGCTCCACAAAAATTGCCAAAATCAATTTTTTCTTTCAGAACTTTGGATATTAGCTAAAAACTTGCAGCACCCCGCAGGACTCTTTAAAGAAAGGCTGAATTTTATTGAAGGCAACAAACCCTGTGCCATTAACTTACCTTAGACCCATTTGCCATGCTCTTGCTCTCTGCGACTTTAAAACTGATAGCCCATGTTCTGTGGTGATATATTATTTATGATTTAATAAATCCACTGGAGATCAAAATGCAAAGCTACCCACCGCCACAGAGTCAGGCAGTGGTGAGACACACCTTTAATCCCAGGACTCAGGAGACAGCCAGATGGATCTCTGTGAGTTCAAGGCCACACTGAGCTACATGAAATTGATCCAATCTAAAAGAGAAACAGCTCACACAAAGGTGATCTTAGCACTTGGGATCATGTGCCTTTAATCCCAGCACTAGGGAGGTGGAGACAGGAGTGATATGGCTGGGCTGAGAGAGGAAAATAAGGCCGGGAGGCAGGAACTCGGGGATTGCAGTCTGAGGCTTGGTGGAGAGCAGTGCAGTCTGCATTACTCTCTGAGGATTCGTGGAGACAGGATCGTCCAATTCAGTCTGAGGTAGAGGTAAGAGCTACTGGCTGGCCGCTTTGTTTCTCTGATCTTCAGCCTGAACCCCAGTATCTCTGTCATTGGGTCTTTTATTAATCGTGTTACAATGTTCCAAGTTTTGGTGAGAGCAGGAGGGAGTGAGGCTTTTTAGTCTCATTCTGGAAGAGAAGCCCTTACTCCAGCCTTCTAGTGGCCCCCTGCAGAGCTCTGCTGAAAAGCCTTGTCTGTACCCCACCTGAGGCAAAGCTGAATGACTTAGCCATGTCTGTGGTGTCTTTATAGCTGGGTATCCTGGGGTGATGGCAGGAGGAGTAAAGATAAACCACATAAAAGTTTGAAAGGAAAAAGCTAGGGAATAAGATGTTCACAGGAGTTTGGCAAAGCTCGGATGGGAAGAGTGCTCATTGGAAATATCGATAGGGATGGGGAGTTAAAAAAAATGGTCCTCTCCAAGGTCTGGGAGTAAAGATCTTCCAGCAGCAATATGCAACCAGACCTTCATCCATCAACACCACTCCCCTAGGGGAGCTAGGGTGTCATGGAGAAATAGCTAATCAGACATCGGAGGCAGGGAGGATAGAAGGTATGTCAGGGATGTTTTATCGAGTTGTAAAGTAAAGAAACAATTAAAGATGAATGGGAGATGGGATGTTGCCCCAATTATAGACACCAACTGCTCCACTAGCCAAACTTGTGATAAACAGGGTGTGAAAAAAGTGGCTGAAGACAATTGTAAATATTGGATTAAAAAAAAAGTTCTGTGAGTTCACATGGGCCCATTAAAAATATTAAGAATTTTGTCAGCACTAGAGGTGACTATTACATTAAGTCCTTACTCTGATAAAATGTAGCTAGAGGGGCAATTGAGCATTTATCCTACATCCCATGCTCGCTACTGCCTTCTTACACTTAATAGTTTCAATTGATGAGCAAAAGTTTTTCCTCGAAGTAAAACAGCAACAAGGAAACACTACAATTAGAAAAGCTGTCCTTGGAGGAACTCCAAAGTCACCCACAGACTGTCATCTTTCTAAGACTTATTTTTAAAAGAGCTACTATGTACAAAAGAATCGAAGAATCAGTTCGGGCAGGATTTTGAATGAAGACACTGCCATCCCTTATTATAGGGACCTCACGCAAGAAGGCAATCAGCACAAACTATTTCTTCTCTTGCTCCTAAATTCAACCCTGGAGAAGTGGCAGTTGTAAAATCTATGAGAAACCCCTGCAGAGACAGGAGGCCGGTAGGTGAGGCAGACGCCCAGCAGTAACTGAAGCCAGTGGTTCTGTCATACAGCCCGCCACATTCACACAGCTAATATGTTGCGGTCTGTAGTCTCCTCCCCCCAGAGCTGCAGACTGCCTGATACCCGGATGATGATGGCTCTGGAGAGCACTGTTTTGTGATGCTCGTGGTTCGCTCCTGTTTCTTGAGTTCACAGGAGGACACTGACTGGGGCCTGCTCTTTATCCATGACCTAGCTCACATGGCAAAGAATCTTAGGAGAAATGACTATGAGCCAAGATAACTGGACACCTGAGGAGTACAGCAACTAAAGAAATAGCCAACAGTATAAAATATGCAAACATCTTGAGTAAATAATGAGCAACACATACTGGGTAAAGAGGAATTACAACAGAATGACTTTAAATAAGCCCCAGAGTATCCTCCAAGAAATGTTTTCTTCGAGGCAGGAAATGTCAGTTAAAAGGGAATGACGTGACAATACAAGATATGAAAAAATACACTAGTTAAAGAATACAATACTCCCTCCCTGGGGAGCAGAAAGGGGTTGGGATGGGGGGGTCAGTGGGGGACAGGGGAGGAGGGGAGGGGGAGGGAACTGAGATTAACATGTAAAAGAAGCTTGTTTCTAATTTAAATTAAAATTTAAAAAAAAATAAAATAAAAATAAAGAGTGCAATACTTAGAATAAACAGCAGATGGTTTTGAGCTGGAAGTTCAGGAAGGAATGAGTGACTGGACTCAAGATGTTATGCAAGGAAAAAACGGACCATATCCATTAGGGCTTTTGTTTTTATCTGTTTATCTGTGTGTATATGTATGTATGTATGTATGTATGTATGTGTGTGTGTGTCTATGTGTGTCTGTGCCTGCCTATGTGTGTATGTATGCATGTATGTATGTATGTGTATCTGTATGTCTGTCTGTATGTATATATGTGTTTGTGTGTCTGCCTGTGTCTGCCTGTGTGTGTATGTGTATCTGTCTGTCTGTCTGTATGTATGTCTGTGTGTGTTTTTGTGTCTGCCTCTGTGTATGTGTGCATCTGCTTGTATGTATGTATGTCTATATGTCTGTGTGTCTGCCTGTGTCTGTGTATCTGGCTGTCTGTATGTATATGTCTGTCTGTCTGTGTGTCTGTAGGTCTGTGTGTGCCTGTCTGTCTGCCTGCCTGTCTGTCTTTCTGTGTAGTGTACGGTGTGGGAGCAGAGCAAGCGCATGACACCATACGTGGAGGTAGGAACATAACTTGTGGAGTCAGTTTACTCCTTCCACCTTTTCCTGGAGTCTAAGATCCAACTCAGATGCTCAGGCTTTCATAGCTGGTGTTTTTGCATGTGACTCCCTAGCCCAACAGTTACATTTAAATTTTTTTCCTGGTTGGGAAAATGTTTAGGTACCAGAAATATAGTGGAAGAGATAGCAATGATTTTCAACACATTTTGTCTGAAAAGATGAGCAGATAAGGCTTGGTTACAAAGTTAGAGATACAACACACATTCAGTGATATCCAGGATGTCACACTGAGTTTAAGGCCAAGGAAATAAAATGATGGATTTTCAGAGGCAAAATCTTCAGATCAAAGTCTGTAATTTTATATATGGGAAAGCTAGAGCCTAAGGAAGTTAAAATAATATGCCCATAATTATAGATTCAACTGATGGAGTAACAGCAAGACCTAGGTTTTCTAGGTCTGATGAGACAGCTTAGTCGGTGCTAGCTGCAAAAGCAGGAAAGCCTGGGTTTGGTTCCCTGGCACCCACATAAGAGCCAGCTGAAAGAGCACACATTTGCAGCCTCCTGCTGTGGCCTCAGAGACAGGAGGATCCCTGGGGAGCACTAGCCAGGGTTTCTAGCCAAATCTATTAGCTCCAAGTTCAGTGAGAGACCCTGACTCACAAAATAAGGGCCTGGGGAGATTGCTTAGCGGTCAAGGCCATGTGTTACTTTTGTAGAAGACCTGAGTTCAATTTCCATTGCCCACAGCAATCCATAACTCCAGTTCCAGGAAATCCAGTGCTCTCTTCTGATCTCCATGGGTACCAGTCACACACATGGTGCACAGACATAAGGCCTCTGCATGCACACATACACATTCAGTGGTGCACACACACATAAACCATGTATACATAAAATACAGTCCAACTAAATTAAACAAATATAGGTCTTTTGCTAGGTTCAATAACCTACACTAGACTTGTTGATTACTCCTGAATTGATATTTCCAAAAACTACAACGTACTGTTATATGTGAATGGGTGGCATGCTCATCACCGCAATTAAGTAAGCCTGAGATCTTGCTATGTCAAACAAGACCTAATTACATGTTTACTTCTTCAAGCATCCAGGTGCATAAGCTTGTGGCGACTCTCTTAAAAGGACAGGTGGGCCACATTCATCACAGAACTAGAAACAGGTCTGAAAATCTCAGGCACTGGAGCTGAATTTCATGTGTTGGAAACTGCCTCACTCAGGTTCTTATGTTGATGGTGTTTTGGAGATGGGACCTAAGGAATGTGGTTAA